GCCCCGGTCGGTTTCCACAGGTTCAGCATTTTTTTATCCGCAGTATTTTTTTTCACATAAAAGGGTTGAATGGCCCCTACTTTCAATCAAACTGTCCAATTTTTTCCACCTTCCCAAACTTTTTTTGTTTCCAATGGCTCTTCATTGTCCTCCCCTTCAAATTTCCTCAACCAGGGCTTTTTTTCCATACGTCAAAGTTGCTAAATTCAAATCGGGCTTGGACCAAAAGGTCAACACGACTTCAAAATATACTATTTTTTAATAATGAAAAAACCTTAAATGGAAAATTGATTTTCTTTAAAACGGTGTCACACGTCTTGAAGGATGGCCCCAAAGCGCAGCGTTATAGCGAACATACTTGCTTTCATTAATTAAAGCATACACACAAAAAAACAAAAAATAAAGACTCTGAAGCCCTCGTGACAATGACCGAAACCGAAACACCCAAATAGAACGAACATAATAGCCCCCAACCAGGGTGTGACTACCACCCCCCCCCTAAAGGCGCGGACTGCACCGCGCCTAAACACAAACGGGGGGGGGCGGGTGGGCTTTCCTCCCGGCGGGGGCTCCGCTCCGGGTTTTGCCCACCCCCCCAACAAACCCCCCCAAAAAGCGCCCCGGCCCGGGTCTCCCCGCTGGCTGGCTGGCTGGACGTAGCAGGAGCGGTGGGCTTCACTCCTTATGGAGCAGTGGCGGTACCTGAATTGGCACCGATACCCGGGCCAGGGGTTTGTCCGGACTAAACCTCGCCCCCGGGTTTGGTCGGGGGCGGGACGGCCGGGCCGGGCGGCGACTCCAACCGTGCTTGGTGCGAGTGGCGGGAACCGCCACCCTGGGGACCCACCGTAATTTTGGTGCGGGGAGCAGGACAGCCGGGGCCGGACTGGGCGACGCACCCTAGGTTTGGTCGGGAGCAGGGACAGGCCGGGCGGGGCTGACACCACACCGGGTTTGGTGGGGGGCAGGGCGGCAGGCCAGGCGGCGACGCCACCGTAGGCTTGGGCTTTAGCGGGGGACAGGGCCGGGCAGGCTGGCGACGCACACCGTTCTTGGTGCTGGACAGGACACCCGGGCGGGCGGGCGACGCCACCGTAGTTTGGGGCTGGAGGGGCGGCCGGGCGGGGCTGTCGCGCACACCGTGGGCTTGTGCTGGACGGGAACAGGCCGGGCGGGGCGGGGCGACGCACCCCGTAGGTTTTGGTGCAGGGAGCAGGGACGGGCCGGGGCGGGGCTGTGACGCCACCGTAGCTTGGTCGTGGGGGCAGGAAAGGCCGGGCAGGGTGACACGCACACCGTAGGCTTGGTGCGGGGAGCAGGGACCCGGGGGCGAGACGTACCCGTAGTTTGGGTGCTGGAGGGGGGACAGGCCCGGGACTGGGCTGGCACGCACACCGTAGGTTGGTGCGTGGAGCGGGGACGGGGCCCGGGCTGGCGACGCCCACCTTAGGTTTGGTGCGGGGACAAACAGGCCGGGGGGCGGGCGCGCAAAAACCGAGGCTTGGTGCGGGGAGCGGGGACAGGGGGCTGGGGCTGGCGACGCCACCGTGGGCTTGGTGCGGGGCAGAACAGGCCGGGCGGGCTGGCGACGCACACCGTGGTTTGGGTGCGTGGGCGGGGCGGCCCGGGGCTGGGCTGGCGACGCACACCGTAGGTTGGGTTTTCTGGAGCAGGGAAAAGGCCCGGACTGGGCTGGCACGCACACCGTGGGCTTGGTGCGTGGAGCAGGAACGCCGGACCTACTGGGAACCTCACCACCCCTTTAAAACGGGGACAGGAACGGGCCCCCGGCGGACGGGAAATCACCCATACCTCCCCCGCCGTGCCTCTACACTTCCTTCCCTCCTCTCGCCAAATGGCTCCCGAAACCCCCGGGGGCCCTTCTCTCCTCGTCTCCCTTTCGCCCTGTGGGAGCCTCCTGTGCCCATCCCCCCAGCCTGTGCCCCCCCCCTAAAAAATTTTTGGGGGTGCCTCTCGTCCCCCGCGATGGCACGTGACGGGCCCCTGCTTTTCCCCTCTCGCCAGGGCCCTTAAACCTACCCCAAAGGCCCCCTTTCCCCCGACATTTCCCCCCGGACCAGATTTGCCCCCTGGCCTCGCCACCTCTCCTCCCTTCCTGGCGCTTCCTCCCCTTCCAGTCTGCCTCCCTGACACGCTGCTTGGGGCCTTTTTTGTGGGTTTTTTCTGTCACAAGTCGAGAAGGAGTGGGCCAAAAGCGCAGCGTTAGTACGAACAACTTGCTTTATTTTTTAAAGCATACACCGAAAAACCCAAAAAAATAAAGACTCCGAATCCCAGTGACAAAGACCGAACCGGAACCCCCCCAAAAAACGAAAACATAGAATACACCCCGGCTC